CGTCTCGTCAGGAGAGGGGGGGCGGTGGTGGCGTCGGGGTGATAACGGCCATTGATCAAGTCCGCATTGTTTAGGCTCGCCCAATGTGTATTCTGCCGACACGCCGCGTTCACACCTTCCCGCAAACCTGTGAACGGTGATTGCCATGTTCGTGTTCACGTCTCGTTTGCTGCCGGGTTGGCGGTCCCCGTCACCGTTGTCCATTCCCAACGCGTGATGGCGTCCGCCTGCGATCACATCCTCTTAGATTGCACATTCACTGGGCACAGAGACTATGCCATCGATGAAGGCCATCTACTGAAAATCAAAACACGCCTAGTGGGCAGTATAGCACAGACGTTTTTATGGCTCTTTCTATGGATATTTGCTTGGGCACATCCAGTACCGGCGCGATTCGTATTCTCGGGCGTCTTACTATGGTACGGGTCCCTTTAACAAAACCTTTATTGAAGTTCTGGATTATTCAAGTCCTGAACACAGGTGCTTTGGTTTTCGCTCTACCTCAACTGAACTTCAAACGGAAGCCCTCTATGTAAAAACGTCAAAAACAATGTGGTACCTATACAAGTTCTAGGGCTAAAGAGTACATACATTTTAATCGGTGAAAATGCACCAGCATTTGCTTACTGAAACACGGACAACAACGTACCAAATTGTGGCATTTTCCGCGTTTAAGTACGCAATTTATGCGAATGGTGTCATCTGAAAAGAGTTCTCCATATGGTAAAATCATTCACATGCATTGCTTAATAGGCCTAAATACAGACCAGGTAGTTCGGAGTGTCGCTAAAAGAGACCTACTAGTATTTGCCTCCAGTATTCATAACATACTGTTCAGAACGTGGGATAGCTCAGAATCTCTAAGGACTTCCTTAGCCACGGAGCGTTTGCGATCATGCTAGCAGAGACACAAGTTAGTGCTGCAGTTGTTCGCTGTAAGCATAAGCTTTATTTGCTATTTTTCGTGTACTCATCCAGCCATCTCTGTGATATTTTGATTTAAATCCTACCGCATTTTTTCCCTGTAGGTGCTTTATCGTGAGTCAGAAAGTTGCCAGCAAATGTATTCTGAAGGAGCACTATTATGGAACGAAGTTCGGATATGAACCGATTTCCAACGAACAAATTGAAGTAAGGCTCCAAAAACCTTATCAACCTCAGTTTATTGGTTGTTGTCAATTGCATATTCATGCTTTTAACTCATGGCGTGTTTTTGAAGTTTTGTTCGCATCAGTTCTGTGAGATAATTTCGGTCAAGTATGAAAACTCCATATCCAATTGACTGGCAATTGACGCCATGTCACAACCAGATCAATAAGCCACAATATCACGGTCACACTTGGCAGCCTTCCATGGCTTTTCCAAGCAGCTAGCCTAT